ATACATGCCAAAATTCCTTTTTAATACTAGTATATACTATATAGTGGTATATATTAGGAAAATAGAAACGTGTGCGTTAAGTGCTCCTTGACCTAATCCTACCTCACCCATCTTCTTTATAAACGTCCACACATCTATATTCTTCCTCTTCGTTTTTCTTATCTTTTCTAGTTCGTATTAGGATCTAATTCTCGGATGGGATTCATACTCAATAATGAAAAAGAACTTCTCAATATAGATGTGTGGACGTTTTCTAGTTCGTGTGGACGTTTTAACCGCTAGGGTTTCTTTGAATAAGTTTTGTTCTTTAATTTTGTTATCTAGTTCTTATGTTGTAAGTTGGTTTTCAATCTCTTCTTAGCTTCGATGGCAACCCAGATCCGGTGAGCCAGCGGTTGGTTGGTTTAAGTTGATGGCCAACCCCGGATCTGNGGTTCCGATTTGTTGGTTTAAGTCGATAGCCAGTCCCGGATCCGATGATCCACGATTGGTTGGGTTTAAGCTTAGCCAACCTATAATCAAAGGGTTTAGGTTAAGTTTTTTGTTGACGCAAGATTCTGAGTCATTCGTTATCTTTTGTATTTTGACACTTTATCTTCATATTATCATGCTTTAACAAGCACGTTTAACCTAGATAGTCTGTTTAAACTAGGTCTCGATTCAGAGCTTTTAGGTTTGTGAATTGAAATATTAGTAAAATTGAATTTCATTCGATTTGATTAGATATTATTGTTTTGGCTGTCCTATGATAATTGCTATGTTTAGATAATCATCTTTAGCATAACATATATTAAGGGTTTTATTTTTGCAATTGGATTTATCTCCGTTTAGTCTTTGCCATGACTCAACGAACGAGGCTCATTTCCAGTTTTTGCAATTGGGTTTGCTACTCTTTAAACATGACTCAACGAAAGCCCATAATAAAGCTATAGGGATAAGTTCTAAGCACTGGCTGGAAAAAAGTGTAGTAAACCCTACACTTGCCAGAAAAAAAGTGTAGTAAAA